CTCGTTACCCTCCAGGGAACACAAGACGTCTGCTCACGGAATCCCCACTGCGCTGTCGTCCTCCCACGCAGGTGAGTGCTGGATCTCCCTTGGCAACACCGTCTGCTCCCCTGCAACTCTCAACGAGGTAATCAATTCCAGACAGAGGGACCTAGCTTCCGCCTAGCTTAGCCCTGAGCTCCTTCTTTAGGAAAAACACAATTTAACTCACTCCCTCGCGGCGAGGTGGCTCTTGAATTATTCTGCGATCCGCGTGACCAGAGAGCAGTTGACCCAGCTTGCTGAAGGTCGATTCTGACCCCTTTTCTCTGCTTTAAAACTTTTTATAAAGCCGTGCCCTCTATGGCCATTGCCGTGACTTGTCCAGTTCTCATTCCCCCGCTTCGCGCGTCTCCTCTCTTCTTCTCCTCTCTTTTTCCGGTTGTCTTCTTTTGTGGTACATTCAAAACATTGCAAAATAATAGAACATGAGATACGAACAATAAATTCCTCAACACCCATATAAAACGGTTATAACACTGCAACAGCATATTTCAACCCATTTATAACAAACCATGAAATTGCCTAATGATTTATCACATGATGAGAACAAATACCTCACTGCATCACCACAAAGACAAAACACACTCTGGCAAACAAAAGAAAACAATACTCTGATTCCGTGAACAATCAGATTACTACACAGAAGAAAATAGGAACTGAATGGATTCACTCAACACTGTTACATTGTATTAAATCAAGTGGCTTTTGTGATTATAACAAGTTTTCAGTTTTAGTTTAACCTACTAAAGTTTTAAAAGCTAACACAGGTGTATTAATTAATTTGGACACAGATGCATTTCATTAATTGAGCATGTCATGAAGTTCACTTTTTTGAGTGTACAGTAACTGGTTCTCTCTTTGTCAAAGGTAACCAAGGATCCACAGGAACACACTGTCAGGGGACACTCAAAACAATACTACTACTATTACTTCTCAGCAGTGACACAAGGTGAATCCAAAGTCTCTTATATGCATCCACCCTGCCCCTGCATCTTTTCCTTGCATCTTTGTCCCGCCAACAAGGGGAATGGAAAACAAGGAAAGCATGCAAGGAGTGAGGAACCAAGGAAACACATTATTAATAACATGAGATGTCAATGACTCTGATCTGAAGCATCCAGTCATCAACTGATTTTTGATAGAGGGGCATGCCATTCCATAAAGGATTTATACAAAGGATGCCTCATACTGTATATTCTCAGTCATGGCTCCTTCCAGCAGCCTCACTGCTCCTCATTCCTTGCTCCTCAGAGTAGGAAGAACAACTCTGGGACGTCCTTGAGGAACAATCAAATAAAGGAAATGCAATTTAGCAACAGTTTGCCCTGAGCAGGAGACACAGCTTGAGGAACGTAAACCAGCATACTGGGAACATTATGAAGAAGTAATAGGAGAAAATTCAACAGAAATTACTGGAAGTGGAGTCATAGGAATGGGCAAAAGGGAGAGGTCAGGCTTCAGGAGGGGACTGTTTTATGGTGAGCTAGAGGGGTATTTACTTGGTTAATGTCTAATCCAGATTTGTAAGCAAGATCCTCAGGATCTTGTTTCAGGTGGACAACAATGTTTTTGTGCTGCTTCCTACTACTAACATACATTTTCAGAGTCCTGCTCTACAGCAATTCTTACTTAGCTTCTTAGCTAAATAAAATTAGCTTCATAACTCTTATTTAGCTTCTGTACCTAGTCTTATTATCTACTATAGTTATAGTCTGTTATCCTATAATACATAATGTTAAAAATTCAGTTAGAATAGGATCCTTTAATCAGCCCAGGTTTGTGTTTGCCTAATAAATGCCTGCATCTACATTCCGACCACCAGAGACAAGTATATTGTGTTTCACCCCAGAAAAGCAAAGTGGCACATTGGCAGAAGCACAGACCAATTTGTTTGACGGGAAGGTCATCACAGGCCTGCCATGACACTGGATTCCACTGGAGACTGGGCCAGGTGTGTTGGTTCACAAAGTTATTTATTGACCAAGATCAGCATTCAAATTTATTCTGCTGCCACAGCTGCCATTCCCACGGTCATCTCACAATGGCCACATAGATACTTTGCATGTTTATCATCTCTGTCTGTCCCTCAGTCTGTATTGCTCACCATCTTGCTTGCTTTCATTCATTATTTTTCCTCTTCACCCACGTCCCTGTTTTCGTTTTCAAATATTGTAAGTCCCAAACAAACAAAGTAGAAAAGTCTTTGAATTTAAGCAGCAGTTCTGATGTCTGAGTTCGTGAAATGCCATAGATATTAAAATGTTGTGTTGGCATGCCTGTCATGGGACATGAAGTCCTAATTTTGAAGCATGGCAGATTTGCCTCTGAACTTCCAAATCTATTGTTAAATCCCTGTCACAAGTCTCATGATGGGCATGTAATCTGTCAGTGCATGCAACAAGGCCAAATCCCCATGTGCCTCAGATTCCATATGGTGATACATTCACACTTGTTAGAATGAACCTTTGGATAGGAGTGAACAGCTTTTTGCAAGTTACACACAGCACAATACCATGTCAGGCACCAAAGCAATCCCAATGGCTACCCAAGGAAACCCATTTAACTTCAAATCAGCCTGTGCACACACACATTTTATAAACCCTTTCATTTGACTCCCTTTGAAAACTATATCATTTGACATCTTTTGACATAAATCCATCCCCTCTGTATGAAACCATTAACTGTGGCAATTGCCAATTTCCATGAGTGACTTGAGAAGTCTAAACAGTTCTATCTATTATAACAGGGTACTGATACCACTGCTATGTGCGCCTCCCTTGAGCACAAAAAGACACCCTTCTTCTTTTAGTAGGGTAAATAATACTGCTTTTATTGTGGCATTCTTGCAGCAGAAAATATAAAATGATGACATGTTCTAATGTGTCCTTATATTATATTTTTATGCCAAGTTTCTATATGCACCTGATAAATGACTGTACAGGCCTTAATCGCTGCAAGAGTTCATGCTCTGGCCATGCAGTTTCTCTTAAAATATTCAAAAAATGCACACTGAAGCATGAATGAATGATAATGCGTTTGCCTGGGGGCACTGTGATCTGTGATGCATATTGCAAACTATTCAACAGCATCAACTGGGGAAACAAAGATGCCACAGCCAAAGAAAGATGCGTACAACTGCCTTTCACCATCTCCAAGTAAATGGCAGTTGGAGACCTTTCCCATGGAAAATGCCATGCAAACAGAGATGACAGAAGAAGAGGATGGCTTCTCAGAGCTGCCCCACACACACACACACATGCCCCATCTGTCTACATGTGGATGTGAAATCACATAAGCAGTTTAAGTCAAATTAAGTGAGCATTTATTAAAGTAAGAAAGATTTTTTTTGAGACTCAGTTTTTTGTTTCCCATACAATGTTTCTATTTTGAGTTCCCAGGAGGAAATTTTGTACTAAATGTCTGTACATTTGGAAGGTACCTACCTAATCCGACTAATTCAGAATGGTGAGCTCTTATGCTTCAGTTAAACCTTGAACAAATGAAACTTTAAAATTTGTCCCCATCACTTACACTGTAAGTGCTGTGAAGGAGCATTCCTAATGGCCTGCATGAACAAGAAGGAATGATTACAGCAAGCAAAACCACCTCCTCCAGTTTGAAACTGAAAATAGCTGTCCGCATATTAACCTTGTCATGCTCCACTGATTTGGGTACTTGAAACTCTGTCTGCATTTATTAAGATTGGAAGTGGACTGGGTGTTAGGGTTGAATTGACAGGTCCGACACCAAGTCCTTCAGCCTGATGCTTTCAAGTCTTGTGACACAAGTCTAATAGGTTCTTGGAATAGAAAAATGTTAATTACCAAGTATGTTAGTGTGATGTTTTGGGGCGGGGTTGGGGGGGATTTTATCTAAGGTCCTTATCACTTAGGATATGAGAGATAAACCAAAGGGCTCATAATGTGATGTGAGAGAAAATTCACCTTTGGATTTATGTTTGCAAAAGTGTACTCAGTGATAACATAAGGAGTCATGGGCTTTTAATTGATGCACTTGATCCATTTTAGATAAATTTGAGCAGTAATCGTAATATACTGTTTTCCACTCAGTAAAACTAAGCTAAACTTGAAAGCAAGAGCTGTACAATTTTGGTAGTAACAACCATTTAAGTTGTTTTAAGTGGTAGAGAGAAATTATTTAGCTGCATTCTTTTAATAGCATTAAGGTATTAGTCTTGAAGTTGTTGATCAATTTGGCCAAACACAGAGGAATAACATTGAAAGACAACAGAATAAGCCTTTCTTTTTTCAATGCATCTTTGACACCAACTTCAGGCTTGTGCATAATTTGAAGAATTTCCAAATGACAAAGTTACCTCTGCAAGAAGAAAGGGAGGAAATTATCTAAGTGTCATAGTCACTTTTAGCACAATTTCAGAAAAATGAAATTTTGTTCAAATTTTCATTGAGGACTTCGAACTGCACTTTCTCTGGTGCTTCTAATCAAAAGGTTGATTTCAATACCCCATTAACACTCTTCGCTCCAGCCCACAAGTGACCTTAAATGAGCCCAACTCCAATCACCAAATTAGAATTAGATGTCATTCAGT